GGGGGGGTAGAGCCGTTAAGGGAACGGTTTAACGGCGGCTAGTTGTGTGGAGACAAAGCGCGGGTACACACACACAAACACACACACTCCTTAACCCTTCCCGGGGGGAAGGAGGGCGGGGAAACCGCCCCGATCCTACGGAGAAGGTTCATTTTTTTACAAAAAACAAACAAATAAATAAATAAACCCGACCCGAACCATTAAACTCTTCCGTACTTCTGGTTTCCCCTCACGCGTGTGGTCTTAAAAAGTGGTTCTGCCGCTTTTTTTCTCTCAGGGGGAGGGCGGATTTGATGTGTTTTCCTCAGCCGCTATTCCCCATCTCCTCCTCTCAACCCTCTTTGTTTAAGCATTTCCCCCTCCCCCTCTTCTGTTTTTCTTGCCGCTGACCATCGGAACGTTTGTGGTTTTTTGTTTTGTTTTTTTAATCGCGTATAGGAAATGAAAGAAAAGAAGGAAAAACTCGAGGAGAAAACGGTCCATAAAGAAAAGAAGAAGGAGATAGCAGAGGTGAGGCCCGTCTGAGGGGACGGATTCAGAGGCCTTGGGGAGGGCTCTGTCAGGGGCAGTTGGCCTGGCGTAATTAATGCGAAAGGAATAGTGGAGATTAAGGAGGAGGACAGGCTGGCGAGGGAGAGGAGCAAATGAAGAGTGAGCTATGGGATAATTTGCGGAGAATGAGCCTTGAAGGACTTAGCGCAGTCAGCGTGGTCCAGTGAGAAGCAAAAAAAAAAAAGATGAAAGAAGGGAGCAGAGTGAAGGGCGAACGGGAGTTAGGCGGCACTGGGGACGTGGTCCTGCGCCGACTGAAGCATCCTGAGGTGCCTAAGGGAGTGTAAGTTGGAAGAAGGTGGAGGAGTAGGGACAGCGAGGAAGTACATGGATCGATGAAGGGCAGAAGGGACCTGGAAGCAGATGTCCTATGAGCACAGGCTCAGGAGTCATTAGCCTCGTAACCAGAGAGATGTTCTGATCGTTGGGGTGGGATGGTAGCAGCTTGTCGGGATGGGAGCTCGTGGAAGGCAAGGAGGTTCGTGTTGGTGGGGAGGGACTGGAAGGATTGGTTTTGGAAAGAAGGCTGGCTGGTTTGGGGGGGTGTCACCCTGGGATGCTGAGAATAGTGGTGTCTGGGTAATGGTGCAGAGGTCGCTCACTTGATGCGTTCCTGAGGCTGGAGTCTGAAGTGGCTGGAGCTGTGGAGATTGTTCTTGCACTTGCAGCAAAGAGCACATGGGAGTGTCATACTGACGCCAGTTTCTGCTCTGACCAATTTGTTTCACTCAGGATGAGGAAAATGGAGCGGAAGAGGATGAGGAAGAGAATCCTGATGATGTGGATGAAGAAGAAGGTGGCGATGAAGATGAAGGTAGGAATAACTGGTGTAGGGAGAAAGGGAAGAATCAGGCTGTGGGGGAATAGAAGATCATGGAGGGAAATTCCTCTTCTGAGCCCTCTGACTGTGAGATTACATCCCTTTAAGTGCTCCTTCAATTAACCTGTGATTTCCTCTCTTGCTTGTGCTTAGAAGGAGATGAGAATGGGCAAGAGCAGGATGGTCACGCAGAAAAACGATCTGCAGAGGAGGAAGAGGTGAGTGACAGTGTGAGAGTAATGGCAGTGAGAAGGAACTGTGGTTCTTCAGAGGTTACCTGCTATGTGCTGGCCAAATGCGCGTGGGTGCCGTTGTTGAGCATCTCAAATTGGCCTGGGGTCTCCTCGCTGCTGCAGCAGCAGATGGGTAAACAAATCTGACTTGGTGAGGGGATAATAAACCCCTGTAGATTCCTTGTAGGACCCAGGTCCTTCCACGAGCAGTCTCGGTGCTGGGTGTTGGAGAGTCAAGGTGCTTGGGATTGTGTTGGGTGGTGACCCCTCAGACACCTGTGACTGCTGGGCTCCAGGGCAGAAGAGGGATGTGTAAGGGGCAGTTCACAGGGTCTGTCTGAAGTGACGTGAGCCCAGGCTCGTCGTACCTCTGGAAGGTAACAGCGGAGATATTCCTCTGTTTGGAGCTACCCATGTCTTAACCCTGACCCTCAAGAGAACGGTGGTGATCCTTTAAAGAGGAATGGGTTTAGGTTGGGCCAGACAGAGATTTCCCTATGGAGGAAAGAGCAGCAGTAAGAATTTTGCAGGGAAATGGTGTGCCTTGGTGTGGTGACTGCTCGGTGGTAACTTTTTTTTTCTCCCCTCTCTGTGTCCTACGTAGGATGAAGTGGATCCAAAGAGACAGAAGACAGAGAATGGGTCTTCAGCTTGAGTCCTCCCCTCCCATCTCCTCTGCTCCGTCCATCTCTCCTCCTCCATTCCAGCCTGTGCTTGCACTGTCCATTAGCCTCTGGCTTCACACAATCTCAGATGAGGAAAGATTAGAAATGCTCTCAAACAGGGAAGACAGCCGTTTCTTCTCACCCGAAGACCTAGCCCGTCCGTGACCTTCCCCAGCTGAAATTATTCCAGCCCCCGACCCCCCTGTCCGTCCAGCTCTGACCCACTTACAAATGATCCTCTTCCTTCAGGAATCTCATCGTTTCTGGGGGCCACGTATGTGACCTTGCCAGGCCCGTGTACCAGGCTCCTCGCCTGCCTCCTCCTCTTTTCACTTGCCCTCTTTTTTTTTTTTTTCTATTTTTTTAATTTTGTCACTAGTATGTCTGAGATCCTTGACAGCTTCTTTGCTCCCCAGACGTGCTGTCAGATCTCCTCCCTGAGTCCAGGAGGCTGCAGGCACAGGTCTCACGGTGCATTTTCCAGGCCTGGGCCTCCTCTCGCCTGCTTCCCCGCTGAACCCTGAGAGACAAAGGAAAAGAATGTTACAAGCAAATAACGGTTCTATTAAACCACACAAGGAGACAGAATTTATTTTAAGCTTCTTTTTTTTTTTTTTTCTAGTTTACATGACAGCAAGCTGGCCCTCGTGAATTTTTTCAGAAGATAAGGCTTGTTTTTATATACAAATTTCATCTGAACTGTGTATTTTTTTAATTTGGAGGCTTTTTTAAAACAAACCAAGAGAGAAACGATTGGGGACCAAACTTTGATTTCCCTTTTTTTTTTTTCCCTTCAGATTTTCTTGTGACCATTTTTTGTAAATTAAAGGCAATAGAGCCACAGCGTTTTCTACGGCACAGACATCACGAGGATGATAGATATAAATATATATATTGTTTTCAACTAGCACTGTAAATAAAAGCGTTTAAAAATATTTCAAAGGGCTTGTGTGGAGGGTCGTGTCTGTACCCCTTGGGTGATGTCCTGATCCGCTCGGTGGGAGCTGGTTTGCAGAAAGATGGGGTGGCTGGGCCAGCAGCGGGTTGAGTGAGGAACCTGAGCTGTTAATTACCCGTGTTTGTTAATGACTCAGGTGGCCCCTGTGTGCTGGAGACCAGTGTGTGGGTCTCTGCCAGGTGGTGATGGGTGGAAACCACCCCTGGTCCTCAGCATCAGGGGACAGAGGCTCAGAGGGAGCCCGAGCTGGGGTTGAAGGACGTGGCTGAGGGTGGCTCTGAGCGAGCGCTGCCCGGTGGCCCCCTGGCCCAGCTGGCTTCAGGTGTCACCCACCCCGTGTCGGTGGCAGCAATGGGGGGACGGGTGTTTGAAGAGGCAAGAGCTGCAGCTCTTTGTCCGGCCGGCTGCCCAGGAGAGATCTGCCAGGGGTTCTGGCTCTTTATCTCTGCAGACCTTCAGAGCTGCTGTTACTGTTCCTTCCTTTTCAAACTCTGGCTCTGGCGCCGAGAGCAGGAGCTGTAAATGACACCAGCCTTTATCTGAGCATTGTGGCTTTGTGCTTGTCCGACGGCAGCAGCAGATCAGCAGATACTGGACGCGTGTAGAGCTGCTGGTCTCCAGAGGGGCCAAGTGTCGGCCATCATTTTTCCCTGAAAGTCCTGTGTGTGGCTGTGGGACTGGCCCCAGGGTGCAGAGGGACACCAAAGCGTGGTGCAAGTGGGACGGCTGCCACCAAGCCCCTTCCCACCCACAAAGGTCTCCAGGGGCCTGTGCCGGCCTGGTGGGATCTCACTGCACTGCTCCCTCAGCTCCCACTTCGTGGTGGAACCTCAGCTGGGTCTGGACCCATCTCAGCCCAGGGGCCACCACAGCCCTGGTGCTCCTGACCCCGTCCAATCCCATCTTCCCAGCTCCTTGTCAGGAAGGGGATTTGGGCCCTTCTCCTCCAGCAGGGATGGGCCTGGGGCATCCCTATCTCCAGCTGGAATTGGGTGTTGGGCCCTGCGTCCCCTCTCTCTCTGCTGTCCTGGGTGACCCTCAGCCACGTTTGCTGCAGGAGCAAGTCTCAGGACTCCCCCAAACTCTCTGCTGGCCGGTCGCCTTTTGCTGTTCCGTAATGAAGATAAATTGTTAGCGGACGATACAATCTCTGCAGAGGCTGATGACGGCTTTCACGCTTCTTCCCCACGGCTGCAGCAGTGCCTGACTACCAGTAGTGAAGAATACACTCGCCAGTGAGAAGTTGTGGAGAGATAACTCCACCTCTGCTTTCTATACGGATCCAACACCAGTACCTTTGGTTCTATCCAGCCGTTCATCCAGAGGGAAGTGAGGCAGCACCCAATTGTTGAGCCATGTGAGCAGCCACCCCTCACTTCCTCTGAGGGAAGCACCACAGGACAGAGGGAAGTGACAAAGGGCTCCTGGCCAGGTTCCCCATGTCTCTATAGACCCCTTGACTCCACAGCTTCTACTAATTCTTCCATCATATTCAGTTTTATTGAACACCTTTTTCATCACCTATGGATAGTTAGAAGATAGAGCTATAGTTATGCAAATAGAAGAATATCTACTTTGGCATTTTTTCATCTTGGTGATCTGTGGGACATCATTGCTGACTTGAGGTGAGGGCTACAGACAACATAATGGAAAATTGCACAGTTTCTTCCCTTTTCTTAGACCTGCAAAGATCCGTGCGGTACCCGGTGGCATTTTAGCTGAAAAGGCAACCACAGCAAGAAGTTGCACAGATTTCCAGAAAAGGTTGAGGATGCATGGTTCTGCACTGCACTTTATCTCAGTCCTGCTCGTGTGCTTGATTTGCATCCAGACTTCAAGATGCTTTTCATCATTCTAATTCTTCTGCCATCAAGGGTGTGGTGCTGGTGCCATCAAGGTAAGAACAAAGCCCGTCTCGGTCAGTGATTCCTCAGAAGTAATGATACCAATCAGGGGCCATATTCACCTCCTGGGCACTGTGCTAACACTCCACTCATCTAATTTAATTCCTGTGACCACCTGTTAACCTCATCAGCTGGGGGCAGAGCTCCCTCAAGGCTCTCAGTTTTGCCAAAATTGACAGTAAAAGTCAATGCATGCTGGGATTAAACTGCAGGAGACTGTCTGCACAGACGTGTGTACCGGCTGAACCTCACTGTCTTTTGATTAAGTCTCACCACTGGGTCAGGTGTGATTGTAGACCAGACCTCGGTTTTCAATAAGCCCGCAACAAAGTCCTCAGTGGTTTCACCCGAGAGAGGTTTTGGTGTCAGGAGACCTTTCCTAAGGAGCTTGCTTGCTCCAATCACAGTATGGTTAGAGCTGTCAAGGAGGTGGCTGGTGCTCATGGTCCCTTCCTTGCTTCCGATGGCACCTGCTCCGAGTTTCTAGCAGCTCTGGTCCTGCCAACAGAGTAGCATCGGAGACTTCCTTCTTTCTCATCCTCCTCCAGGGCTGCTTGCTTTGAGAGGGTTGTGGAGGTGGCACAGTCATGCTCTCTCACAGGCTCCGTTAGACTTCCCTCCAGACTGACAATTTCTGCTTCCGAGGGCCCTTTTGTGTGGTTTAGAAAAGCAAACGCAGACGCCGGTGCAGAGAACAGGTAAGAGCCGCCTGCCAGGTCTTAGCTGGGTCCTTCTCCTACCTCAGCCAAGCCAGTGACCCCTGGATCCCCAGCAGGGATCACCAGATGGTTGGGACCTGGACCCACCGGCAGGCACAGCCCCCTGAAGAGGACAGCTCTGGCTGTGGCGGTGAGCGGCAGGTGACAAGGATGAGAGGAGGCAGCTGAACTCCGTGTTAATTGAATAAAACCAGTTAATGCTTCTGGTTAAGTAGAGCAACCTGAGCTAGCTTTGGAGGCAGCTCTGCTGTAACCAAGGGGGTTGGGGCTAGAGATCTCCAGAGGTCCCTTTCCACCTACATCTTTCTGTGATATATGAACAAACAGAGGACTGCCATGGAAAGTTTGAGCTGAGTCTGAAGATATTTCGAAGCTCCGAGCCCAAAAATGAATGCTCTTTGCATTTTATAACTCCTCATTTCCCCCTTAGGCAAATGATCCGCCCTGCCCAGCCTCTTTGGTCTTTCACACCAGTTTAAAGCCCATAAATGAAACGACACCAGTGTAATCAAAACCATCGCACGGGCAGAACTGTGAACCCTCCTTCAGACCTGGAAAAAGTGAGCCCTCCAGCCACTTGCTGGTCCAGGAGGAAACCCCTTCTTGCTTCAGGAGAGTCCAAAATCACCCTGTGGTTGCTAACTTAAAAATAAGTAATGAAGATTAATTACTTCTCTCCCCCACATCTTCCTCTGGGATCTGGGGCTTACTTTAGGCCCTCTGGTGAGGAGACACGTTGCTCAGCCGCTTCCCATATGCCATATGGGAAACTGAAACAACTTGCCTTCCCAGATCCTTAAGAAGCCCGTGTACTTTTCCCTCCCACCTCTCTCCCTTATTTCAAGAGCGGAGTCAAAGGCAGACACGCTCATGGCTGATCCAGTCTGTGTGTTTTCACAGGCAAGAAGTCTGTGTTTACATGTGTGGGCTCAGGCTGGGGACATACGGCAGATGGACAGGACCGGAGCGCTGGTATTATCAGTGGATGAGTTTGGGTTTTGTTTCCTGGAGAGCTCTTCTGGTTCAAGCAAAACACGGACATTCACAGGGGTGAGAAGAGACCTAAGGTGTAAGTATTCAAGGGTCTCAGCCACACCAGATGGCTTATGGACCAAGCAGGTGCCATCAGATACAGCTTCTCTCTTGTGGGAGGCATTTTCTATCAGACATAGAAGAGTGTGGTTTCCCATCTCAAGCTGTTCAGGAAGCCTGTGCACAAGAGTGAAGCTGTATCTGATGGCCCCTGCTTGGTCCATAAGCCATTAAAAGGGACAGAAGAGCAGGTGACCCATGTATATGCTGTGGGTGATACCTAGCTGATGTGACTTGTCATTGGGAGGCTGTAGCAGCCTTATGTTGTACAAATCTCCAGCATTTTTTATGATGACTTTTATTGTCCCCATTCTCTACCATGTACTTTGTCTCAAAAAGCCCAGTTGAACAACTCCAATGTCCTAGTGGGGTTCAAGGTGCTTTGTTCTCAATTTAGTCACTCAATTCATGAAGTGGTGTCCTGATGTCAGCAGTGTGTTTGGCCATATGTCCTGCAATGAAGAATCTTGTCCCTAAGTCTGAAATGCTACTGGAGCTTCACACATCCAAGATGAAAGATCCTAAAACCAGTAAAGGCTGTAAGATGTTGCAAAAACAGTCAGCTTCCAGAGCTCTGTGATTACATACGTATGCCAATACCTCTCTGGCAGCACAGGTAGAGTCATGTCTTAGGCTTTCCCAGGTCTTTGGTTTTTGGATGCACTTCTTAGGCTGCATAATTTAATGAAGATTTTCAAAGACCCTTACCTTCAGCAGCTTTTCTGTTGTTGCACATCCAAATGACTTCACAAAAAGGTCTTTGCTGGACAGCCCTCCACAGCATGGACTCAGGTAGTGCTCGGTTAGCTCTCAGAAATCCTACCTGAGAACTTCCAGCCAGTTGCTGTTTTCTAATGTGAAGGACAATTTCTTAAATGGTACTTCTAAATTTTTTCCTGTCAGATCCAGTACTGAAAACAGCAGAGGCTGTCAGATATGGCTCCAACAAACCTTCCAGCATACCAGCATGGTAGATACCGACCCAGATTTGAGCTAGGAATTTGCCAGTTCTGCACAAGGTAAATTTCACAGAAGATTCAGTAGAGAAGTCTGGAAAAGCCAACATTGTAATTCAAATGAGTCGTGAGGTTTTGCTCATAACTAAAGAAAATGCAGACTGCTTCAGGGTCGGTGAATCCCTTTTCCTAGCTGTAGAAATAAACATTCTTGTAGAGCACTGCTAACAGTGTGCTGTGTTGACTGTAGTTTCTTGTTGGGAGAGGACCCTGTTCCACCTCAGTTTCTCTGTTTTAAAGTGTTTCCAGATCA